TGTGTCCTCAGAGATGTCCCGAGGAATGCGAGGTTGGTGACTTACGTGCAAAGGATGGGTAGAGCTTGCCGTGTCAGCAAGCTCATTCTCTTAATGTGTCGAAGGACGCATCCTTGGTGGAGGAAGGGGAATCTCACTATGAAGATGTTCGGGTTGAACATCTTCGGGCCCTGGTGGATCTCGCGGGAGAAAAATCTCCTCTTGAGGTACTAGTGTCAGTTGTCGAGTCTCTTGCAGGAGTTGAAGGATCTCATTCTGAGATTCTTCCATCTTTCGTATTCGCTCCTCCAAGGAAGGTCCTGAGGTTCCTTCGCCAGCAACATTTTGCCCCCCAAGGTAAAAGGAGGCAGATATGGGGCGTCTATGATTCATAGACTGATTTCTGGATTGGTGGGAGTTGGAGCGAGAAGCTCCCAAGATACGATTGCTACGCCTGTTGGTCATCGAAGTAACACTCGAAATTGTGGGATAATGTTTCCCACATATGGCGTCAAACTGTTGCGGGCTAGAATATACGCGATAATAGAGTTAGAAAATTTTCGTCTTAGTGTTGTATGGATATCCAGCACACAAATAGGAAATGAAATAACAACACCAGTATTTTTACATGGAAAACCCTGAAAAGGGAAAAACAACGGGGCCAAACCAAGTTGAAAAAGTTCCACTAGTGTTTGCTTGAAATACAAGAGGATGACTCGTCTTTAAAATTTAGGACGATCAAATTACAATGAGTCACTTCTGGATTGAAAATCAGTTACAATGTCAGGCAGAGTTCCGACATCACTTGGAGATCGGGCGGAATTTCGGCGTCCCTTGGGCAGAATTCTGGCGTCACTTAATCGTCGGGCAAAATTCCAGCATCACTCGGGCATTTGTGCAGAATTCCAATGTCACTCAGGCGTCGAGCAGAATTCTGGCATCACTCGGGCGTCGAACTGAATTCTGGAGTTGGTCGTGGAGGAGTTTCTTCCCTCCAATCCTTCTCTTCTTCTTCTCTTCTTTTTCTTTTTTCTCTTGCTTGGGTCTCCTCTCAAGAGAAATGAGGGGTCTATTTATAAATATTCTGGAGTGGCATGGCCTGTAAATAGGTGAGAGATCAGGGGTAAATGGGGAGTGGTAGGATGGACAGCCGATATTGAATCCCTTGATCGTGTTCCATTCATCAGATATTTGAAGGTCTTAATGATGTCGGGATTCGACGATCTTGGTCTCGTTGGATTCGTCTCGTCGAGCCGCTCGATTTGACTATAAGCACGTCATGTTTCGAAACTGTTTGGTAACTCAAATTGTGGTTCAAACTTTCCAACAACGCTTCGGGTCCTTGATTTAGACTCATTTGGGCTCGGATTGAGTCGAATTTGGTGTCGTTGGGTTCGTATTTCTGAGATGCTCAGTTTGACTATAAGTTTGCTGAAATCGGAGTTCAGGTGATCCCGTATTTAATTTTTAAAGTTTCCACTTGATTTTGCCTCGAGATTCGTGCCCGATCAATATATCAACAATAATGACTCATGCAAATAGTTATCCTTAAAAGAGTCTCCACTTGTAATTAGTTAATCTTAATCAAATAGACAACTAAAGGGATGACATGGTTTAGTGTAACCCTTACAATGATTTCAGCGACGTAGAGGAAGAACTCACACTTAATCATTCTGTGATGTGTGTCAATTATCTTGTAAATTGAAATTTGATAGCAAATACATCTACAACTTCCCACTTAACTCTAAGTTTTTGACAAATTTTATAAACTTATAATCAGTAATTATAATCGAATGAACATTGCTTCAACTTCTATGTGATAAAATAAAGCTTACTCTTGAGCTACATCTATAAATCTACATGATTTCTGAGAAGGATAAAAACACTATTTATATCACCCAAAGGCAAAATACAACATACTACAATTCACCTGTTTGTAGGAATAAGAAATTCGTAGTGCCCACAACAACTAGCCTACAAGCAAGAACAAGGAGCTTGTATTAAACAGATCAGTCTACCTACGGGAGAGAATATGGGAACTTATAGCAAGCAAGATAATTCTCCTACGAACACGAGCACGATCTCCTAATACCTATTGAGCAAGTATCTTCTATTAGCTATGCTAAATGACACTTTAAAGAGTTAAAATGAACTAAACAATACCTCTTTTATACATGCAAGAACTGAAGTTAAAAAGCTTTTATGCCATCGGATTCGCAACATGTGCACAAGCGGACAAAAGGTGTTCGTTGGCCCTTAAATGAAATCCTTCTAAATAAAATCATTTGTGTAAATAGATCATATTTAAATATTTTAAAATATCCCTTATGTATTAAATATAATCCCTTAAATTGAAGTACACAATCCTGCATATGTTCCGACAAACATGTTAAAGTTATAAACACAAATGTCTGATAATACTGCGCAGGTTAAATGCTCGTTATGTTTTCAAACTAAATAGAACCCTGCATGAGCTCCGATAAACATGTTAAAGTTACAAACACAAATGTCCGAGAATGCTGCGCAGGGCCAAATATTCATTAACATAACAATCTATTTTTCAAATTAAACATAAACCCGTATGTGCTCTAACAAATGCAATAAATTTCTAAACGCCAATGTCTGAGAATGATGTGCAGGCCAAATATTCAAGTTTCATCATCCTCCTTGAAAGAACCGGAGTCAACCTGACTTGAATCATAAAATGCCTCCCAAATTTTTACAAAAATAAAAGTGACTTTAACATTACCCCGAAGATGGCTGTGTTGATTGACAATCTCAATCAGATGGGTCAAATCTCAAATCCAACAAAAGTCTAAATCTCTGAAATGGAATCTTTCACTTAAAAACTTGAAATTAAAATCATCCACCTCCCGCAACCGTTTGTTAGGTGTGATAAATTTGAAATTAACCTCAGCTCATAAAAAGCGAATGCATGTCGTGTGTATCACTAAGGTTCATCCTCAAATAGTCTCTTGCCAGTAGAGACATGACACGTGCCATTTGATCGGATGATTTTGCCGCAAAATGACACCATTATATTACAATCACGGCTAAAGCCTATATGTTCCCTAACAATTTCAAACCCTTGAGTAATGAATCATAGAGTATAGTTAATAGGCATAAAGCCCTTTGTCAGCTAAGGTGGATTCTGATCTATCCCCTTAGATAAACACAAGGTTTAAAATTGCGTAATTAAGCCTCGAGGCGGTTTTCATCTGTGAGGCAAGGCGTAAACCTCGAGGCGGTGTGAGGCATAAGCCTCACGGACGCAGAATTGCATAAATAAGAATTTAAAAAACCAAAAACACACAAAAAAATCAAAAAAGAAAAAACCCTAGATTTTCTTTCACTTGAAAAATCTTGCCCTAAACTAAAAAAGAATACCTAAAATCGATTGTGGAGTACTCCTAGAGGGCGGCCGGACACTTCAAGTTCGCCGAAGAGAGGCGGCGCCGGCGGGAGAGGCGGCGGGAAGGGAAGCCGACCGTGTGGGAACCCCTCTGTTTCGCGAACATAGGCTGCGGGAAGGAAAATTTCGGGATAACCTGGAAGCCGTGCGGGATTAAGGGGAGAAAAGGCTTCATTTTAAGTGGGTGGGGCCGGTTCTATGAGGCGTACGCCTCACCCAGAATTACGCAATTGCGCCTCTGAGGCGCGCCTCAGACCAGGTGAGGCGTACACCTCTGCCAGGAGAGGAATTGCGTAAGCCTCGAGGCGTTTTTGGGTCAAATTGCACAGAGGCGCGCCTCTTATTGTGCAATTTTAAACAGAGGATAAACACCAACCTAGGTCTACAAGGTATTTTTGGGCGAAGCAACCCATTGTTGCTGATAAGGTGCATTCTGTCAGGTTGGGTCTAATACCTCCTATGACTAAGTAGAGGGATCATGATAGCCCGAGACAATGGAATCACGGGATCTTGATCAGACACGTCTTCATTCCCCCCCCAACACCAGTTTTAAGTTTATGGTGATAAACTCCAAAATTCATATCTCAATTTCAAACCCTAAAACTATTGTTATTATACGCTGGATTTATAATCTATGCGATCTCTTTAACGACTAGCCTTAATCGAAAGTTCTCTCTTGTTATCATAATGGGTAATTAACTATAGGGGCTTGCGCCTATAGGAAACCAAAACTTAGATAAAAAAGTATTCGCAAAATGAGGGCGAAATCTCTGGGTAGTGTCTTATCTAAAACCCAATTTGCCTTTTGAAAATTCACCCGGAACCTAATATCGTTAAAACTTTCCGCCCGTCGTCATTACACTTAAAAGAAAAAGAGACCGATGGCGCGGAGAGGCTGGGGTGCGCATATGAATTTTCAGAGCCACAAATGGCTTGGTGCTGAGTAGGCAATCTAAAACACTGGGATTAAGTTGAGTTCAAAACTTCATACCTATGCATGCTAATGGCTGATTTCACAAAATACTAGCAATGATATCTGGGTGTTTGGAAACCTCAGCATGTCAATTTTTTAACTCCCGAAAACCAGGCACATTAATTTCCTACTATTTTGGAGACCATTGCTATTTCAATCTTGCAGAAAACCAAGCATAAATTCTTTCAATTAGTCTATTGTAGTAGTTTATCTATTGAAAAGAGGTTCTCACCACTCTTGAGCTGCCGCGAAGTTGAGCAAATTATTTGCAAAATTAGAAAAGTAGTGTTCTATTTTCATCATGGGTTCAAGCTACAGAATTTTCTAACAAATTTTTCTAAATAGGCCTATACTCTAATTACTTATAACTATAAATATAATCTGCTTATTTCTGAATAACTGCAGGATGGTCAATCTGTGTTAGCTAATCAATGACGAGTTCGTTGTTTGCTGAGCTCCTAATGAAGTTAGTCATTAGATTTTCTCAGCTTCTTCTAGTCATAGCCACCGACGTCGGTTAAATGACATGTTTATGATGTATTAAATTAGTTAAACAATCAGCTTTTTAAATGTCAGTTAATGCAATCAACTCAAATAAGTAGATATTTATTTGCAATTTGGTCACCAAGATTTGTGTGATAGAAAGTTGGATAGGGTGCGTTCTTCTTCTTTTTCTTATTATTAATATGAATGCAGGAGGTGTTGATATCCGTCCTTATGTAGAGTCAGATTTGAAGAGAGCTGCAGCTAAGGTGATTGACAAGGCTAAGGAGCTCTGTGCTGCTAATTCGGTATGATTTTGAGCTCTCTCTTGACACAGTTAAGTATATTATGGCATTCAATCAATTATTTTAGACCAATTTGAACTATGTTAATTGAATAAAACATTAAGGGCTTTGGTTAGCTATTAATCTACACATCTCTTTGCTTTTTCTTGTGCCTTGAATTAGGGTGCTATTTGTATTGTTAGAGCATTGATTTTCTTTGTTGATACTGCTCTGATAATATCTTTATCATGCAAAGGTGAGTGATGCTATATTTGAAGTGGTGGAAGGAGATGCAAGGAATGTACTGTGTGATGCTGTGGAAAAGTTTAATGCTGATGTGCTTGTTGTGGGCAGCCATGGCTATGGAGCAATAAAAAGGTATAATGGCTTTTCTATGCAATCTTCTGTTCAGATTAATGAGTAATCTTTGATTTGGTTAAGCATATGGCACTTTTAGCTTCAATCATATTTTTTTTTAAGTTTTATTAGACTTGCAATATCTCTCTTCTTTGGTTGCCTATCTAAAGCTTTAGGTTTTAAAAAGGCTGGAGCCTGGAGAGATTTTGGGTGGGCAAGGTGTTCGTACATGCTGATTAATTAATAAGTTAAACTAATCATTAATCAATCAATTAATGATGCACTATACTTCTAATTCAGCATAAACGACCCTTTTATAATTATTTATGAAATCATACTAATAATTAGTTAATATATGAATTTAAGAAGATTATTTACTAGTATTAAAACCTTAAAATCAAATTATGATAAATTATGCTGATTATTTATGAATTGATGGTTATTAATTAATTAAAATAGATATAGTTTAATGAATGAATAACACAATCATGCTAATTAACGAGGCATTAATTCATATAGATTAATGAATAAATTATAATTGATTAATTTAATTTGTATAATTAAAAATAAATAATCTAATTATTTGTCCATGATCCTAATTAATTAATCTTTTCATTATCTTAATTAGTAATTAACACATTACATCATTTATATGCTAATTCTAATTTAACTTACTTTAGTAATTTATCTTGATTTTTTAAGAAAGATTAGTGCCTAGGCCCCTTGGTGAATGGGATCACAAATAATGTTCTTGGGCTAGGCTTATATGTGAAGTTAGAAGTTAGAACATTATAAAACTAGTAGGCCACGGCTTAGGAGTTAACTATGAGTTAGCAAGCCACGCTAAGGGGTTAGTTATTCTTTTATTTTATTTTATTCGATGAGCGTGATTTTAACTCATCTTTGATATTTTGATGTTCGATGATTCTTTTGGATGTTATAATAATTAAAGTTGTCTCATTTACTTGGATGTTTGGTACTTGAACTTAATTTCATTAGGATTTTTTTAAAATTAATTATCCCTTCTTATAAAGGAATCGAATAAATGGCTAAATATAAAATTAAAAGATTTACAAGAATTTTTATGAATGACTGTGATCTCAAGAAAATATATGACATGAATGTTAAGGTTTTCTCCTCTGCTTTTCCTCAGGCTTCTCTTCTTTGTTCCCAGCATTTTGAGCGAGCTTATGACCTTTTATTACTATTGCAAGCCTTATTTTCCTTAATGATAATATCCTTGGAATAGCTTCAACTATTTTCTTAGTCTTTTACACAAACATGCCACATATTTCATGAAAATATATTTCTCCTCTAGTGATCTTATTAATGCCATGGCTTTCCTTTGGAAATTTGTAGCGTAATCTTGCATTGATTGCTCAGGGTTCTACATCAGATATTGTCATTAGCTATAGTTCTCCCCTCTTATGGCTAATGGGATAGAACTGGGACAGAAGTAAACCTTTAAACCACGACTATCTCAATCATAAAAAATCATGTCTATTGGATTCTACATTCTAATATATTAAGATATGTAATGACATTTTTAAATGTGGAAAACTGCAAATAATTTTTTTTTTACGTACTTGCACATAGAGAAATATGTCTCAAGGAGAAACCAAATTATCCACATCCTTTGCACTATTTTACCATATATTATAATTTCTTACTTTGCATAATTGCATCCACTTTTGGGCAATAGTTGAGCTTTAGATGGCAGAGATTCCTTTCTCCATCCTCATCATCCTCACCACTTCTAAATCCCCATCTTAATCTCCTATGTACATTAGCCTCTTACCATGTTGGCATTGCTGGTGGAGGCAACATTCTTTTTATTTGGATAAATTGGTGCCCACTATAGATTCATCTGCTCCATAAATTTGATATGAAGGATCTCTAGTTTACTAATTCTACTTTCTATACTATCTACTTCTATGGGTCTCCATGCATTCGAAAGCTCAATGGCCTCACCATACTCAAAACAGGCTCTTTTTTTACTGTAATTGTACTTAAAACCTACGATATCCCCCCAGCAAGCGTAAAAAATTGAACTGAGGTTAAAGGTACCAGTACAATCCGATTGATCGAAACAATTAGATTCCACACAAACTAACACTCATTTCTTCCTTTTGTCTCTTGATTTGGGAAAAGAAAAGAGAGAGTAAGAGGGCCAGCTTGATGAGTAGAAAAGACTTGATGAGTAGAAAAGAGGGAACTAAGACGAGATGGCTAAGGAAGGAATTTAGGATACTTTTTTTTAATAGCAATATGCCATAATGAAAGGTTGATAAGACCTCTTTTTTATATCCATAGGAATGCAATACAATAAACAAAGCTAGAAAATTTAATGAAAATCTCAACATAAGTAAACTTTTATTTTCGATAACCACTCTACTTTTTTTTTGTGGGGGTGAAGGGCGAAGGGGGGGGGGACATTTAGACCAATTAAGGAAAAACTCATACACACATCACATACGTAAGACTCGAACCCAAAACCTTTTGGCTAGTAACCAAAACTCCCAACCAACAAGACCAAATTGAGTTGCGTGATAACCACTCTACTAAAGACTTCACATCTTTAAAGGATTAATTTTGGCTCATTTAAAGCTCATTTCCTTTTGCTTTAGCTAGCCTCCTTAGCTTGAAGAGATTTGTGGAAAGTAAACTTGGCCTCTACTTGAATTGTGCACTGTTCTGTAGCCTTCAATTAAGTTGGAGGTAGTTTTGACCAATTCAATTTTCTATTTTTCTTGTGGGATTTAATTATTCAAATTTCTATTACTGTCTTCTGACTAAAATACATTTATTTTAAAAACATTGAATCAAATCACCCCAAAGAAAACTAAGGCTTTGTTTGGGACAACTTTTTTATTGCTTCTTAAAGCACCGTTCTAGTACAAAAAAAATAATTTTTATACTAAAAAGTTGTTTTAAGAAGCAGAAAAAAAGCCGTCCCAAATGAAGCCTAAGTGTTTCAAGCTTAATTAGCTGAATGTTGAACTTATTATTTACTTATCGCTGTCTGTGCAGGGTGGTGTTGGGGAGTGTGAGTGACTACTGTGCTCACCATGCAGACTGCACTGTGATGATAGTGAAGAAACCCAAGCACAAGCACTGAGCCGAATAAATTCCTGCTCTTGTAATATAAAGACTGTCAAAACTGAAGGACCTATATATAACTAAGCTTTGTATAAAATGTCTGTGTGAAGTGAATACAATTTGAATATACTTTATATTATATTTCATTAATAACAAGCACTGTTTGTCTCTATATTTAACCTTTGTTTAGAACAGCTTTCTTGCTGCTTTCTATCAAGCATTTAACAAATTATTCGTTGAACAAGTGTGCTTGTAGAGATTTTAAACTATCTATCTTCTAAATTAGCTAACAAATCTACTCTTAATCATCTGATTACTGTAATATTCAACTGTGTTTTAATTGAGCAAATGATTTCTTTACCCAAAATTAATGAACTTAAGCATGTGATTAGTTTTCATGGAATCATTTTTAATCCTTCTAAGAAAATTTGGTTTTTCATTTCTTCTAACAAGCTATTATTTAATATATTGGGCTAGAAATAATTTTGTAAATTACCTTGAAATCTTTATTTATGCTAGCTAATAAAGGAATTTGAGCAACAAAATTATGGCAAATCATAAAAGGTATCTTTTAAGTTTTAATGATACTCGGTTTGTTCCGAAGGATTTTAACTTAATTTTTCGCTATCATAAAAAGTTAGGTGGTAATCCGTTTAACCAACATGTTCTAAAATAATCTGATAATGCCTTTATTTTTTATTTTTTTCTTTTCATCTTAATGATATTCATATTGTGATATGATAATGCATTTATGGATTATAGCTTAAGTAAAATATAGGCTTTAGTGGTAATAATTTTATTTGGACTAACATGAGTATTTGGGAATTTACAGCTGGTTTGGAACAGGTTTTTAAATGCTTTTTAAATCAGCTTTTAGTATTTTTTTTTAAAATAAAAAATTTTGTTGTAAAAACATACTTTAGAAAGCAGTGAGAAAACTGTCTCAAACGAAATCTTGGTTTGATCACTTTCACATTTCTATCAACAAGGTTAACTTGGATCACTCTTATTTGATTGTGGAACATCTAATGATCAATCTTTTGGTCCACCAATCTTTAGATTCTAAATTAGGCTAAGCAAATACCATAATTTTTTAAATTTTATTAAGAGAAATTTGTGTGAGTATATGTTTCTAGAACATATTAGATAAGTCAAAAGAATTCTAGTATTAAAAAGTGGCATTAACAGCTTAAAAATGGGGCTAAGGAAATTGACATGACAATTTGGCGCCGAATGCACAGGGAAAAAGGAAATGGGCAATCGACTAAACAGGGATTTTGGCAGGATTTGAATACTATAATATAAAATTGATCCTAATTTAATTTCTCGATCATACAAAATTAAACCAACATGGAACCTCATGTCATAACTATAATATAAAATTGATCCTAATTTAATTTCTCGACTATACAAAATTGATCTCAATTTAGTCTAAAAAAGAGCATTTTTTTATCAATTTTGTATAGCCCAGATATTAAGGTTTCATTTGGGACGGTTTTCTTATTGCTGCTTAGAGTAGGTTTCCTGAAAAGCTGCTCTAAGAAATAGTAAGAAAGCCGTCTCAAACAAAGCCTAAATTGGAGCAATGTAATACTCTTAAGATTAAATTAGCCATATACGAATAATTGGGAGACTAATTTAAATTTTTCCCTATATATAGAATAATCTTTAAAAAAGTCCACATTTATACATAGATGAAAATTATCAAAGTAATAATTATTAGTTCAACATTCTAATGAATTACTCTCTTTGAATGCAAATTAACCAGCAAAGGAAAAGAAGAGGCAAGCCAGCAGGGGTTGTCACAAAGCAAGTAAGAAAGCAGGAATCCAGCAAAATAGAGTATTTGTGATAAAATTTAGAGCAAAAGGATTCATTTAGGACGGCTTCTTACTGCTTCTTAAAACAATTTTTTGACATAAAAATTAAAAATTTTGTACTAGAATGCTGTTTTAAGAAACAGTAAGAAAGCCGTCCCAAACGAAGCCAAAATATACAGACAAACCATGCTTCTTATTAATAAAATGTTTGATAAAGTAGAATATAGGTTACATTCACTCCACACAAACATTTATATAAAATAGAGTTATTAAATTGCTTCAAGTTTGATGGTCTATATTACAGTACCAAGAATTTATTCAGTTCAGTGCTTGTGTTTGGGTTTCTTTACTATCATGACAGTGCAGTGTGCATGGTGGGCACAGTAGTCACTCACACTCCCCAGCACCGCCCTGCACAGAAAGCGATTATTAAGAATCAGCATTCAACAAATTAAGCTTGAAACACCATAGTTTCCTAAATAGTTTTTGGTTCACTATTATTTGATATTTCATGTATTTCCAATGTTGAACCGTTGTTGCACTAAAGAACATTAAATGTTGTTTCTAAAGGCTTCGTTTGGGACGGCTGTCTACCTGATTTTTAAAGCGGCTTTTTAGTACAAAAAGTTTAAATTTTGTACTAGAATGCTGCTTTAAGGAGGAAGAAAGCCGTTCCAGACGGAGCCTTACCCAAACGAAGCCTAAGGCTCCGTCTGGAACAGCTTTGTATTGTTTTATAAAGCAACTTTTTAATTCAAAAAAAAATTTGAAAAAAAAAAATTGTGATAGAAAGCGGTTCTAGAAAGCAGTAAGAAAACTGTCCCAAATGATTTTTAAGATAAGATGTGACCCACGCTTGGGTAAACAAAGAAGGGCCTGAGTACTATAAAAATAAGCTATTTCCTAAATCTCTAGTCAGTCATTTAGCCACCTCTGAGTACTAGAGTATGCTGGCTTAGCTTTAATTTGTATTTTGGTTTGTGCTAGTCTAGCAAGACTTGGTAGAGTTTTGTGTGACAAAGTTCGATATGGTGCACTTGTGATTGAATAAAAAGTGATAGTTCTTGCCTTTTAAGTATGATTATATAAGGATTTCTTCATCTATGGAGGGGTGTATTAGAGTTGAGCTTTTGTAAATCCATTTTTTAGTCAAAGGCACGCCACAAGAAGAGGGATGAATTGAATGCGAAGTTCGATACAAGTAATTTCTTTCAAAAACTTCTCCAACTCAATACCTTCCTAGGCTCCGTTTGGGACAGCTTTCTTAGTGCTTTCTAAAATATTTTTTTTAGTAAAAAAATTTTTAGAACTAAAAATTTTGTATTAAAAAGTTGTTTTAAAAAACAGTAAGAAAGTCCTCTCAAACAAAACCTTAATTAAGATGAAATGCAGAAGCTAAAAATCATATAGGGAAAGCGAGTAATGCATTAAGGAAATCAAGTGTGGAAACTAATAATTATAATAGCAATTAAATTTACTAACTAGATATATAAAATTATATATGTACAAGTATATAGATATGATCATTAAAGTTTGCTAAGTTATGAACAATTGTAATGATATGTCACTCAATTGTAACCACACAAATTTGTATTCAGTTAAGCCAATTCCACAGTAGTAGAACACGTAATGGTACTAAATGAATGATTAAGTTAATGAAAGTTCCAAAAGAAGTACAAGCATATAACATTATTCTTGTCAAACACTAAAACATAAGTAACCAAAACAAGATTGATGGAGATATAAATAGAACTATATCTATGCACAAGAGACTAATGTACTGATTAAGCATAATGATTATATTTACTCAACTACTTATAAAGCCTTAATCAAACAAATCACCACCTAGATATAAAACATATAGATGAGAAGTAAATGTGCAAACAAACTGAACTATATAGCAATGTGAATATCACCGACATAACTACATCTTGATTCTTGACTTACACCCACATGTAGTCCAATTCATACTATGATTAAGTGGCGAAGCCAAAAATTTTATTCAGAGGGGGCCTAAATTAAAATAGTTTTGTTTGTCATCCCATCTAAAATGTTAAAATACATTAAAATAATTTCATTTTCAGACTCATTATCGAAACCAGAGAAGTTGTAAGATCAAATATAAGAATACAAATAACATGGCAAGAATGGAGTGAAAGGGAAAATGAAAGTCGTGCTTGAGGTCATGAGTCGCGAAAGAGGAGCAAAGGAAAAAACAAAGCAGACAGTTTGGGTCGAGGGAAAGCAAGCCGTTTGGCTACATTTGAGCCTGTGATATGATATTGTCGCCAAAGTAAAATTTTTTATAAGAAAGTTATTGTGAAACTAGTAAGAAAACTATTCCGAACAAAGCCTAAAGCAAATTCTTGCATGTTAAATCATGGAATGATTAGGTCTTATTTTTTTATAAAAATAAAGCTAATTTTCTTATGTAAACTAATCCTTCACACTTAAATTTGTTTTGATATGAGTGCAACACAAACAATTCAATTAAAGTGTATATTACACATATCTCAAACTAAAAACAACACTTTTAAGATCCATCTTGATAAAAAAATTGATCAATAAATTCTGAAATTATTTTTTTATGAATATATTACATGCAGTTCGAGCAAACTAACTTGTAATAATTTTATTGATATTTTTGCTTTGGAGCTCACCATTTCCAGAAAAATAAAAAACAAAAATGTATATCATAAAACCATCAAAAGTGCTTAGCTTCCTATAAAAGAAAGTGTCCTTGCACTGTGTATATACATGAAAATGAAGGAAATCCTTGATAAAACTAGCCTTCTTAGAAAACATTAATATGAATCATTTTTCATTAACTAGTATGATAAATTATTTATTCATTGATATATAATTCTTTTAATTAATTCATAACCATCAATTCAAAAAAATTACATGTAATAAACAGAATTTATCCCAAATTTTATTTTTTAATTTCTAGTCATTTTAGATAATTATCTTAAATTTATCAATTGACTTATTGTCAGCATGATTTCATGTATAATTATGAAGGACTTTATATTAATTAATTGATTAATGGGTATTTTAATTAATTTATTAATCATTTTGTACTGGCATCTCAATATATAAATCCTTAATTTGTAAAATTATCTTCTAATTAGCTTAATTAATCATCTTAATCCTTGCTTACTAGTAATTAGTTTGACTTTAACCATTAATACAACAACAACAAGCCTTTATCCCACTATGTGGGTCGGCTACATGAATCTTTTTTCTCTATTGTGTCTTGTTCAGAGTCAAATTATCATCCAAATCTAATAAAGAAATGTCATTTCTAATATTTTCTAGCCAACTATTTTTTGGTATACCTCTACCTTTCTTAACATAAGTCAAATCTAATACATCTACTTTCCTAACCGAGTCATCGGAAGGCCATCGTTTTATGTGACTAAACCATCTAAGGCAACTCTCTCTAATCTTATTTTCCACTGGAGCTACTTCAACCTTTTCACAATATGCTCATTTTGTATCCTATTGTGGGCTGAAAATTCGTGCCTCAGCCTCTCCGCGGACCCCCTTTCTTTCTTTTCATGGTCATCGAGGAGAGTTTTAATGAGTATGTTCCGAGTCAAATTTTCAAAAACCAATTTGGGTTTGTAGATAAGTCACTACCCAGAGATTTCGCTCTGATTTTGTGAGGACTTTATGATTTGAGTTCAAGTTTCCTATGGGGGCAAGCCCCTATAGTTAATTACTCCTCCCGATAACGAGAGAGAACTTTCGATTAAGGCTAGTCATCAAACAAATATGTAGAGGTACGTAGTATCTGGTGTATAGTAGAAAAATGATTTGGTATTTGAAAATTTAACATTTAAAATTGGAAATTCACCACCTTGCACTTAAAGCGGATGGTGGGAGAACTGATGATGAGCCCGATCAAGATCTTATATTTTCGTCATCTCGAGCCATCATGGTCCCTAGTCTACTTATTCAAAGAATATAATCGACCCAACCTGACATAAGGATTCTTGTTGACAATCATAGGTTGCTTCGTCCAAGGGTACCTTGTAGACCTAGAGTGAATATTTGTCTAAAGGGGAAAATTTGAATCCACGTTAGCTAAAAAGAGCTTTATACTCTATCGATTATATCTTATTGATTCATATCTCAAGGATTTAAATCCATTAGAAAACATGCGGGCTTTGACCATGATTGTAATATAATAATATCATTTGGTGGCAAAACCACCTGGTTCAGAGGATCCCGGTCATAACCGTTTACCGATGGTGCCATTTAGCGGTGAAACCACCGATTAGAGGACACGTGGCACATCATTACTGGCAAGAGAAAGTTTGAAAATGAATCCTAGTAATATTCTTAACCAGACATTGACTCTTTGTGAGCTGAAATAATTTTCATATTTGTCCACCTTTGCAAGCTATTGCAGATGGTGGATAGGTATTTTTGCTTTATATGTTTTGATATTTTATTTCAATTTTAAATATTTTATTGATGCATGCTAATTTCATTTTTTTAATTTTCATTTGAACTTTATTGTAATATGGATTTTATGTTTTATTGTTTTTATATTTTTTTCTACCCTATGATGGAAGGAAACCAACGATCATGTGTAGGTGGTGCTCTTGGGCATGCTATTCCTCCAGTGTGCTAGCTTCTTTGGCGCCATGGCATTTGGGCTGATTTGGGTTTGAGCCAAGTTTATTTGGGTAATTAAATAGTGGGCTGATTGTGGCTTAATGGGCTTGGCCCATTGAGGTGTATTTTTGTTTGGTGTTTGGAAAGAAGTTGGGATGGGGAGCTGGCTGCTTGCTTTTTTTTTTCGGTTCCCTAAGTGTTACCTATTCGGGTCCCTATTTGATGGTTGTGCTTGGCCGGCACTTGCTATACTTGTTCGGTTTCCTTTCTTTGTTCGTAGATTACCTGTTAAACTCCCTAGCTAATTGTTCGATTCTCTGACTGATTGTTCGGTTCATGCATATATTTATGGTTAGTTTTTTTTTTGCTATTGGGCTCCCAACGTGAATATTTGCTGAATTTTTCTTCTTTTTTTTATTGGGTCATTAGGGTGGCTAAGTGGTTGTTTGGCTCCCTTTTTTCTCCTATATATAGGGGGGGGGGGGTTGATTTGAGGCTTTTAAGCTGATTTTGGTGAGTGAAAACTACTTAAGCCTGAGTGTTTTCTTCTTGGATAGCTTGCGAGCTTTATCACTTTCTCTTCTCCTTTCTTTGACTTCGTCTTAGGCTTCTTATCTACTTCTTTACTCCACAAGTTTCCACCCCACTTGTATCTTTCTTCTCAAGCTTTTGAAGGTGTTTGGTTGGCCGATTTGTTAGCATTTGCCAGAGGAGTTTTGTGGTGGAAGTTGGCCTAAAGTTGCTGTGGTGGACCTTTGGTTTGCATGACTTTAATCACTTACTAT